GAATAAAATAAATCTTCGTCATTTTAAAGATACATTATTTTTCTACCATATAAAAAAATTGGGTTCCTCTTATGCTTTATATAGTTGCAATGCTGCGCGCAATGAATGTCCAAATATTAGCTATAAAAAAGGGCTCTACATTAAAATATTTATTTAAACGTTTTACTAATGAACATGACTTATTTAGTAATCTTAAACAAATAAGTAAGGGTTCTACTATATGTGTTAGAAATTTCATTTTTATGGGACTATTAGTTTTGGAGATACATCACTTGTAATTTGAGTATTTTTTGACATATTTTACCATTCAAAAGGTACTTGACCCCTTAAATGAACTTGAACCGTAATTTTGTAATTATGAACGTCATTACATTAAAGTTCAGTTTATAAGTAATCATTAATTGAAATTCATGCAGAGACAATAAATGCAGACAATTCATGCAGAGACAAAGTAGAATGTGCCATTTAGAAAATGAATGCTTCAGTGTGATATTTCAAAAATACTTCAGACTATATTTCATTATTTTTCTCATCAGTGTCAGTTGGGAATGAAGAGCTGTGTAGTTATTAGTTTATTTTGAAGCAGGAGAGTGGAAAATATGCCATACCGTCACTACTACTACTACCCTCGAAATAGTTAAATGTAGGAGTTTTATTAAGCTTGATTTTATCTTTGTTTATTTTTATTATTATTTAAGCAATATTAATATATAACTGAATCATCATGCAATAGTATTTACTCGCATATGAACTATGAAAGTATAAAAGAATACAAAAAAAATTGAAATAACACTTTTCCAGTAAAAAAGTGTCTTGTGGTAGCTACTAATTTTGATTCTGTAGTGTAAGAGTCGGCGCTAGAAGTGGATATTTGGCACTTTCTTCCCCTTTCGATGTTGAAAGACAGTGGATAGCCGAGGTTATTTGAGTTTTCATCTTCACGTTGTTGTGAGCAGCATCTCATAAATATGTGTAGAGTAGAATTTATGGTCACATGCTTTTTGTCAGGAATTAGATATATCGGAATAAATACGGATGCTAACATTCTCGAACCACTGGATTTTTGATGCCATAGATTCTAATGTTTTAGATCTATGTTATCAGATTAAAAGCCTCGTTTAGTTACTTAGTCCCTTTACTGTAAAATTTCGTAACATCTGGAATAGGTGATTCAATCCGCATAGTACCGGAATGCCTTCAAATAAATAAGGTAGTCATTAGTAAGCATTTTATCCTTCAACTCAACGTCAGCGTTTTCTAATTCCAACTAATTGCTTTGACAGTTGCTTTTGCCACTATCAGTGGCCATAATTGCTTGGACTAATGCGTTAGCTTTCGCCGAAGACTTATGAAAGCAGAAGAGCGCTTTGATCCATACGTTGTAACTGTGTAATGGTTATAGGAAGCAAGCAACAAGGTAATTCATTCAAATATTTAGGGTGACCAGGTGTATTTTCAGAAGGAGAAGCACTTTCAAAAGGATTTGCTTTTTGGCACACTATTTCTGCACCTGAAAAGGAAATAATTATTGAAACAGTCTTCGAACAACATACATGTGATCCATGCTTTAGTATTGCATCTTCATATTATGGGCAGCCTTATACGGTTGCGGTCTTTGGTAATGATACATTACAAGAGGTTTAAGTTTTAAGTATTCTTTTTCCTCCTATCATAACAGTGATCAGATCTTTCACGACCTTGAATCCAAGCATACATTTTTCCTCTTTTACAGCAAATGTCTGTGTTGTCATTTTCATCGATAAAAAAAAGTCTTTTCTTCAACATTAAATATTTGCTCGTCATATATTCCTCTTCATCAGTTATTTCTGCCAGAAGTTCGGGAAATTTATTTGCATCGTCTGTATTTGCACTTGCTTCCTCACCCATGACTTAGTTGCTTTGCAGATTTGCACATTTCTTGAACGTCTGAAATGCACAGTACTAGTTTTAAATGTACTCTCTGTGCCCGTGATGCTGCCTTCTGTTCTAAATCTCTATTTAAAGATCTAGATCTGGTTAGTCGGAAAACTCAGAAGTATCTGCTTATGTATCAGATCCTCCATTCAATGAGTCAACTCTTTCTTCAGCTCTGAAATTGGTCTTTATAATGATACCTGTTACAATACCATAGCTTTAATTAAGACACAATAACACGCCGAATAAATACTAATTCAGAAGTCAAACAACAAAAATCAGCGTTAATTTACAAAATTTTCACAGGACTAGTTTCGATGGTTTTACCGAACCATCATCTTCAGCTGCAAACCGCAAATAAACAGAAGGAAATAATGATTAGATAAGAAAGAAAGCCGGACAGATAGCAAGTGGCGCCATCTGGTGGAGAAACCAAACTAAAACATAATTTCTCTAAAGCCGAAGGCAAATTGGATTGGATTAGGATCGTTAACTAGACAGAAAGATTTTATGAATGTGAAAGCCTCTAGAAAATCTAGTTCTCAATGGAAGATGTTTTTTGAATAATTTGGCAGCAGAAAAATGAAAGTGTATTTTCGGACCAACAATGTTGAGCAACAGAAGCTGGTGTTTCCTTTTTTCTAACATATGCCCATGTTCTAATAATATAATAAAGATGGTTTAAATAAAGGCAATAAAGCTGATTTAAATAAAGTTCTTTCAACAATGAATTCTATTGATCCTGCTATTCGTTCACTTTTGAACTTGAGACTTCAATTCTCTTCCGTTTCTCGACATTCTGGTCCACGTAACACATCCAACTCAGTACTACAGTTTACCGTAAACCTCATAGGTTTGCTTCCACCACACTTTAAATCATGTCATCCAAAAAACAAAAGTTAGCTTCATTTTATTCCTATGTTTTCCGTGCTCTTCAAGTTTGCTCCTCCAAACTAGCCCTTGATGAAGAACTAAATTATTTAAAAGCAATAGCTATTGACAGGGGCTTTCACCCAACATTATTAATCAAGCAGTTAAAAAATTTCATCTCAACACACAAAAAGGCACACTCTTATTTTAGGAGATTATAAAAATTCTGTGTCATTCCTTCTTTCCATCAATTAGCTATAAAGTTGCACATATTTTGCAGAAATTTAACTTTCGGGTTGTTTATTCTCCCATCAATAAAATGCCAACTTCTATACTCAAGGACCCATTCGGATATGATTCCGGGTATTTATAGGATTCCTTGCCAGTGTGGTTTAATTTCATTGGCCAAACTAAGAGAGCCTTAAAATTTCGCGTCAAAGAACATGAGGCATATGTTAGAAAAAGGAAACACAGAAGTCTTCTGTTGCTCAACATTGTTGGTCCAAAATCACACTTTCAATTTTTCTGCTGCCAAAATTATTCAAAAAACATTCCATTGGAGAACTAGATTTTCTAGAGGCATTTCACATTCATAAAAAATCTTTCTGTTCTAGTTAACGATCCTAATTCCAATCCAAATTTGCCTTCGGCTTTTAGAGAAATTATGTTTTAGTTCTGGTTTCTCCAACAGATGGCGCCACTTGCTTATTCTTGTCCAGGCTTTCTTATCTTATCTAATCATTATTTCCTATCTTGTTCATTTGCGGTTTTGCAGCTGAAGATGATGGTTCGGTAAAACCATCGAAACTAGTCCTGTGAAAATTTTGTAAATTAACGCTGATTTTTGTTGTTTGACTTCTGAATTAGTACCATAGCTTTAATCTATACCTTTTATTATGCTATATCTTTTACAATTTTATTCATTTTTGGAACGACAGTGGTTCGGTTTACAAACCAAACCAATTTTTCCATAATTGTCTCACCTTCATTCATTAAGAATTACATTGAAATTTCTTTCTGAAGTAAGTGCAGACTCTTACTGTTTAGATTTATACCAGTGAATTCAGTTTAGCGTTTCGAAACCGTATTAAGAGTAAATAAACAAGAATTTCGAACAGTGATAAAAATGTCAGTAAAGTAGCCTTGCGAATACCGTTTGAATACAAGTGTAGGAAAGGAAGAATTCATTACGGAATTCTTATTTCTGATTGGTAGGTTTTTAGCATGAATGTTTTGGCTTATGAGCACTTATGTAACTGCGAATTTACGTTAAGTCGCGAATTACTTTACTCGAGAAGCTACTGTAGTTCTGTTTTGATTTATTATTATGTTGCTTTATGACGGTAAATCCTGGAATCTGTTGTGGCAACATTGTTATACGCCGCTGTCAGGAATAACATTTAAATATAAATTTATCTTACGGGAAAGCGTTTAATTTTATGACACGTATTTCTCTTTCCTGTTAAATATAATTCATTTCAAGAACAACATAAAATTAGAAATATCCCTGAAACCATCTTTATATAATTATTTTCATATATAAATAACTATATTGTATTATAGCATCAAACACTGTGATAACTCATATTCTGTAAAAAAAAAATGAAAATAAACGGGAAAATCAAACAAACCGTTAAAGATTTTTAAATCAAATATAATATTGAGTAGCTATCTAATTCAGAGGCTTGCAAAGTCTCTGGAAAACTGATCTCATTTTAAATTTCTGTAATAATCTACAAACATTGCTATTGGTATATTGCTGTTGGTCGACTTTCTTAAATAAAGGCACCAAGAAAGTAGAATGTGCCATTTAGAAAATGAATACTTCAATGTGATATTTCAAAAATACTTCAGACTATATTTCATTATTTTTCTCATCAGTGTCAGTTGGGAATGAAGAGATGTGTAGTTATTAGTTTATTTTGAAGCAGGAGAGTGGAAAATATGCCATACCGTCACTGGGACTCGAACGATGGCCCTCTCACATGCGCGTCGAGTGTGCTTATAGCTATATCATGAATATATGCGGAAAAGAAGGAGAAAATACCTTATAGAGTAAGGCACAAATAGTGTTTAAAAGTGTAATAATATATATTGTCATGTTTTTGGTAACTTGAATATTGAATAATCAATCAGAATTCTTAAACATAGAATAGGAAGAGCACTAATCAAATAACAAGAAATAATTTTATGAATAAATAAAAAAGTAAACTTTATCTTATGGCAAAATAATTTTATTTAGGTTACTATTTATAAATTCTGAGGACAAAACGTTTTCTGGACACATAGGAAATGATCAAAATGTCTTGAAAAATCACTATGAATAACAATTCACAATAATGGTAAAAACCCTCATTGCTGAAAACAATTATTTAAAACCAACAAAAGGAAACCTGTAGCAGGTTACAAAGACAACTGTTTTAACAACGCGTATATGGTGTGTACCAATATACATAAAATAAATGGAATGTTTCATAAAGCATTTAGATTTGATTTCTTATATAAAAATATCCATGGCATATTTTATACAAATAAATAAGAAAATAAATTCCTCACCCATTAAAAAGCAATTTCATTTCAAAGTATATGAAAACTCAATTCAAATTAATATTTAGTGCTATTTTGGAAGTAATTTGATATTACTATAAAAAATGACATTTGTTTCTCAGTCTTTTATTTATAGTAAACATCACCTAGCAAATACAGGAAAGTAAACTATCGAAAATGACGCAGCAGATAATTTTCTTCATACAAAATAAATCCACTAGCAGAAAAGTACAACTTTAGCTTACTTTTTAAAGAAAAAAGTTATTTAAAAGTTTTTTCCCTCTTTTTGAAAGATTTTAATTGATTTGCTCAAAGTAGGCAGTTGCTTACAATATCATATAACGAAAATACAAATTAACACAAGATACTGAGAGAAAGTCTGTAGTTTAAAGGAAAAATAATCACAAAATCGCATTAAAATCTTTAAAATATGCATCACGAAAACGTATAACTGCACTCTGAAATAAGAAGTCTATTTTGGTGGTGAAACTATGACCGTTGGGTTTGAGAGAGGATTACAAATTTTAATATAAAGTTAAAATTTTAAAATAGAGTTTTTATAAATTTAAGTAATAACATATAAAATAAAAAGCTAAAATGTTAAATGATATTTAAAGTCGATATTTGTCAGTGTTTGATGGAAGTAACGTCATCATAGACATGTGATTAACTCTTTTTTGTATTGTTAATCGGTATAAATGTTACTAACAAGACCTTAGGAAATAAATAACATTATTTTACTTTTATGAAACATGAGTCCGTTCAACAATAAATATAACTTATTATGATGAATTGATTATAATTAACAATGTGGGTTAATTATGCTTGCTCTTAGGCGCTGGCAGGTCAACTAATGTGGCTGCTAATCCAGTCAACAGTTGAAGAAACACTGTGATATATTCCAGGTTGTCTCCATTGTGCACATCCAAATCCAGCTGAAATGATACCGACTAATGTCCATTTTCCGTCTAAATACACAATCAGTGGACCGCCGGAATCGCCCTGTGAGAAATAGACAAATAAAAAATTTTACTTATACGGAAACACCTTAAATGTTCTCATAAAGGAGAACATTTGAATGCACAAAAAACTCAAAGGTATTGTTGATGATTTCAAGCCTATATAAACAGGCCTATATGAAACATGTTTAAAGGCCATTCTGAAAAGTTGTAAGGTATTTCTAGAATATTTAAGATAATAAAGAAAATAATTCAATATAAAAAATATTCATTCTGTGTGTTCGAGTTAATTTCAGTATGCAGATATTTGCAAAAGGAAAATTAATTTGATAACTGATAATTTTTTCTCGTTTTATTTCATCTAATTATTCATTGAGCAAACTGATCCTTTTTGAAACTGTTAAAATTGTTTCTAATCAGAACTTTAAAGCATCTAAATTTGGGTCATTTGATCTCTGTATTACATTATTCAGATAAACACTGAGAAAGAACTACAGTACTAACTACCCTTATTGCGTAGTTTTGCAACAAGCACTTCACTACAAAATTTGTGAATCATTCTGTAAGACATACAGACATCACAGGCAGTACCAGAACTATCAGGTGTTTCGTAATGAAATTAAGCTAATCAATAAGAACACACACCTATTTGAAGGCAGTTAGACTTGTTAATTTTTGGTGTAATTATTCGACTAAATCCTCTAAGTTCAGAAAAATGGCTGAGCGCAATGAATTTTGAGACCATTTCTTAGAAGAACTACTTGTATTTAACAGATAACACTGATAACTTTAAAATCATTTTGAAGTTATAAATTTCTAATTTAAAGACAGTAAAGTCAGAAATACAACTAAAAGTTTTTGCTTATTCATTTGTGAATGGCTGCTTAATATTCCAATTCTTTAATGCATGCCACGTTAAAACACCATCCCACATAATCTATATATGTAACTAGTCATCTACTACAAAAGAAAAACTGATTAAATAACATTCAAAACTAGTTGAAGAATTGTCCTCTAAAATTTTAATAGATGTAACATTGTAAAGATATCAATTGATATGAATTATGTTGGAGTGATATTATATTCTCAAATAACAAAAATAAAAAAGAGCTGATACTAATGGAATTCATTTTGGTATCATTTTTTGGTTCTAATTAGAAAATATTTTATTCTATTTGAGTCATTCAACAAAAATACAAAGATTCTGAGATCATAAACTTCTTACTTCATTGACTGTAATATAGTATATTACATATAAATTTTAAATAGCTGAAGACAAAATTTAATGTGCAAAATTACAAAATAAGTTTCATTACAATAACGCATGTAAAATATACAATTATCATTTAAACCAATGGAACTAATATGTAATACAATTTTTTCATATGTGATAAAAATAAAATGGTTTTTTATTATCCATTTTAAGCAACAAGCGCATGATAATGTTAGAGGAAATGGAACATTTTTTAAATCTACAGCTTATATAAAACCATATTTAACAAAAATATCACGTACTTACGCTGCATATTTTTACTATTCTCACAGTAATACTGTTATTGTTAACTCAGGTCGAGTGGAAAACGAATTCAGGACTTTCAGGAGAAACAAAAGAAGAATAGTTTTTCAATGATTATTAGCTTCATGTAATATATTTAAACATGCTTCTACTCGTTTCCCACTTCCGTCTTCAAATCAACATTTCGCAGGAAGGTAGCTGTCACTATTTTCTATTGAGTAGCGCCTTTATTTTAAAATGGGCACTGACATACGATCTGTTGCAGCAATAGCGAATATAAAAACAAACATTAACTTAAAGCACACTTTCAAAAACTGCCATTATATTTTTAATTGATTCTCAAGAAAAATATGAATAAGTTCATGATATTTTTCATATATTGTAAATCCACGTTCATAAAAAAGTACCTAAAGCATTTCTTGCATTAACCAACTGTATTTTGTTTCTCTTAAACTTTAATTGATAAATAACTTCAGAAATGTTAAATTGGTACATATCGCACCCAACGCTCAAAGCATTCAGGCAACTGAACACATCATCATGAAATAATTCGTACTACAATTTTCAGTTTTCATAAAATTCTGTTTTCAAGGTAAATTGTGCTGAGAATTTTATAATGTCATTATTAAATAATTCACACGCTGAATAGTAACGTACAAAGCTGAATCCAAATGGTGAGACACAGAGCAAACTTAAATTACAATGTCAAACAAAAGTATTACTTTGAATAAAAGAGAAAGGAGATAGCCTTCCAAAAGAACAAATAACGAGAAAAAATAAAGGACAAATAAATATATATAATAAAAAGGACGAATAAATATCTATAATAAAAAAGGACATATATATATATATATTTCATTCTTTTCGTCCATATATAGTTCATTCTTTTCGTCCAATTGATTTATCCAACTGAAATAATAACCACATTAATTTTTTGGTTTATTCTTCAGCATATTTAGTCCTTGCATTCAAAAAGTAAACGAATTACATCGGTGGTTGCATTGGATTCGAAACATTTTGAATAAATACATCTTGCAACCTTTCCTCAGTGTTATTCTAGTCTTATGCAATTATTTACGTATGCAAATATCTCAGAACTGTCATTCTAAATCTGAATTTATTCAGCATGGCGCCAATCCTAATTAACATTTTAAACAGAATTACTTTATTTTCTAACAGAAACCGATAAAGCAATAAATAGGGACATTTAAAATGCTGTAATGACCATGATTAGTAGATTTCGTAATCCTTTCTATATAACTGGTTTATTTAGAACATTTGGATATTTCCCTGATATCTTTAGAAAACAGTACTTCTAATTAGTCATTATTGACTGAACATTCTCTTATGTGATCTTTTATAAATTCACCATGTAAACAATGTAAATGTATTCATTGTTATAGGTAGTTTATTCCTATGTAAGGATTTATGTTTTATTGAATAACTGATCACTTAAAGTTTAAAAATGAACGTAATCAAAAGAATTAACATAATCATGGGTATTTAACTTTTAAAATGAAAGTAAAATAGATAATTCAGATTTATTCATTGGTGCATGAAGTTTGTTAGCAATGATTACAATTATTGAAAAAGTAATAAGTTTAAAAATCCTTAATTAAACTAGTAATCAGGAGTATTTGTGTATTACTCTCATTTCTGCATAAATATTCGCATGCAAGAAAACATATATGCATTTAAATTAAGCGCCGAACTCATGAAAGACACAAGCAATTCTGTAACAACAAAATGATATTTTATTTCACGTATTTTGGGGAAAGTTAATTTTACCTTGAAATTATAGATAATACATTAGATATTGTACTAATTTGTTTTATTTACCACACATGCATCCTTGCGTCCTCCTTCGTATCCTGCGCACATCATTTCAGGAAATATTCGGACATTGATACCTTTCCAATGATGCCACATCTCGCATTCCTTATTTGAAATTATGGGAACTTCCACTTTCTGGAGAAGGCGTGTTCCATATCTGTTACCTGCATAGTCAAAAAGATAACCAACTTATAAGAAATATTCCAGAAATGTTACTACAATAAATATATATTTTTAAACGATTCTGAATTTTAATACCTGCAGTTTATGTAAAATTTGTCTCCTGTGATATACATTTCCCCTTTATCAAATTAATAAAACTAATTTACTTACTCAGATTGATAGCTAATATTTTGAAATGGCAGTGAATTGACAATATTTTCTCCTTGACGATGAGGAATAACTAAAGGTGAATCCTCAAATCTGCGAATCCATTGATTGTTGTTATCCTTAATATGATAAAAGTGTTAACGATGTTTTATGCTCACGCCAAATTCAGCGCTAGTTGGTGTCCTTAAGATGTCAAGTTGAGTCAAGTGTATGTATAAGTACTAGATGTTCATTCTGTTCAGTATCTGTCTGGTTTCCAGTATTCTGTGTTTTACTATTTGCTTGTTGTGCCGTCAATAAATGTGGTTTTTGCAACGATGTGTCCCTAAGCCTACTTTTTCCCTGGTTCTACATAACACAAAGCTATTTAGTCATGGGAAAGTTCTCTTTGACAGGTATGAGATTTAATTAGGTAACAGTTAGCCGGGCGTTTCGATTTTATTTATTTACTTTGTTACCATGCACATGACTAAAAATAGTCCCGTTTGGATCTTAACCATTTTTCAGTACCAGAAAAAATATTGTTTTCTATTAAGTTCGCAAATGAAATCTTGATTACAAATAAAGTTATTTGTTCACTTGCTTGAGGAGTTAGTATTCCACCATTTGAAACAAAAAATGTTTTCCCATTCATATTTAGCTGAAGAACTAATATGCTTACACTAGTAAAGGTTACATTAAGTTAAGTACACTACATTTTTAAAAAGCAGAAGTACTTTTCGTAAACTTTCAGGATTGATATCTGTACTTTATTATAAATTCAGATATAGTATAAAGCAATTTCAATATTATAAAATAACGCATGTTTTTGTTTTTCTTATCCTTATTGACTTATAATTTATAGTTGTGCTTCTTGATATCAGTTTGAGAATTATTCCATTACATGCAGTAAAAACTTTCGGGTGGTATTTCACATATATTATACATATATTCCTTCATAGTTATACTGAACTTAGAGGCATAAATAAAAACTTGGGTTTCAAACATAAATGTAAAAAACACGCATTCGTGAAAATTAATTTTACTTCATCTTTTAGTTTACAATTAAATAAAAAGAATACTTATAGGGATGTTCCCTTATGACATCATTGGACAACATGAAAAATTATCAATGTGATTTACATGGTTATTGAAGGTTGTTAAACTCCAACGTATTTTCATCATTTTGGACTCGTGTATTTTTGTAAAAAGTATTTAGTTGCTTTTATTCTGTACAGAAATAAGGTAATCTTTTACACAATGAAAGAAGGAGTGAATATTCAACGAGTTTTATTTTTTACAACAATTTTTAAAATAAAGTATACATAAAGCTTGCAACATTACAAAACGTTTCTATCATCATAAATTAAGAGAACTTTGTAACATCTTGCCGATCATTAATGAAGCAATCCAATAAGAATCCACCAATTTATTTGAAAGCTTATTTAATTTAATACAAGTGTTCACAGAATTCATATAATTAAGGTAATATTTTAAATTTTAGCTACAAATAGCTACAGAAAGTTTCTTATTAAAAATTACTTTTTCTTATCCAGCAGAGAAAAACTCTAAATCATAGTAAATATAGATCATCTTGTAAGGGTTTTATTTTATTTTGTTAATAGTTATTTTTATTTTTGAACAAGCCTTTCCTTTACCTTCTTAATTTCCCCACCTACGTTTTCCTACCAGAATGAGTTTTCAGTATAACGCTTTGTGCAAATAAGGCGGAAACTAGTATTTAAGATGAGGTCTGAGTTACTTCAGTAGGAGAGTGTGTTCTGCCCTTTCGTTCACGTTATTGCTATTAGTTAAAGCTTGCTATTCTACTACCGTATTTAATACATGCCTGCTAGTATACGCCGGTGATCCACAATTAAGGACCAACTACGCGAGTTTGATTCTGTGCAGCTTCGGTTGATTAAATTTATTATAGCATTAGTTTATCTTCTCTGTTTTCTAGTTAAAGCCTACGTGGATGCTTCTTGTATGCCCAAGAAGGACCATCTGTAAAGCTATTTTGTGTTGGAAGGAAAGAGTATTTTAACCCTTCTCCGGAGCTGTTACTTACGAACAAAAACTCAGCGAATAGTCGCTATATAGTTCTACCAGTATTCGAGCTTTCAAGGAACTCTATTTTAGCTAGGATATTACAGTATTATAATCTTCAAGAATTTTCATAACTGAAGTTAAAATAAAACTAAATATGTTTACAATTCTTTGTAACAATTCGCTTCATACTAAAAGCAAAGTAAGTATATAAAATGAGCATGGTTATGCAGAGGTTCTTTTTGTTTTACGGACAATAACACTAAAAGTTATATGCGGATTGTTCTGGAAGTCCTGCAAAATAAAAATACAAGTTATATATATATCTTGCTTTTAGTAATGTTTGCTAGTATATGATGAGCTGTTTAGTACTGTTCTGTAAGTAGGATAACATTTTAGTTCTTTAATGAAAAACATTTCCCGCAAATTCACTAATTTGGTTTGGTTTATTTGATTATGACAAAGCTCGCTAGGGATATCTGCCTAAGAAGAGGGATGCTTTTGAGGAAGATGTTTTACAAGAAACTGGCTCGTATCCACGTTACACATGGCGAAAACCACAAAAACGCCCATGCAGCCAGCCGTTGGCCCGGAATCGAACCCAGGTCGAACTATCAGTCAAATTTATCAGTATGTTACAGTATTATTATTTAATACGCTTAACAAATCCAGAATTTTCTAGAATGTTAGAATTTAGCAAAATATTTCTATTCATTTCCGTCATTGTTGAAACTCATGTCATTACACTCTTTTCGGGAAAACCCTATATAGAGATTCTGTTTATTTAAAGTGTGTGAGTTTATTTAGTACGGTATAAAAATTTTTGTGTATCGTACTCCTGAAAACAATATGATTTGTTTATCACAAAATAAACAAAAAATCTTGAGCATTTTATAGAAATATTATAAACCTCCATTATGATGCGTTATATAAATATAGTTAAGAATCACTGAAATATCTATATAAAAGGAAATGAGCTCTTCGATATAAAAACCCGTCGTTTTTGTAAGTTTAGAATAATTGAAAAAAAATGTTACACAGTTTATTTTATTGTGACTCATGAAAGAAAACTCTTCCTTTTTGAAAAATGACACTAAACATCCCAAATAAAAAAAGAAATCGTTCATTCGAATCAAGTATCGGTGCTAAAGACACATGACCTCAACATGTAGGTTTTTAAACAGTTATTGAGAACCTAACTTAATGCTTTAGTGTTAACGCACTCTACCAATCTGAGTAGTGGAAAAGATTCAGAATTGCCATTCTCTAAATTTTAATAAATCTCAGTAAACAACCCAACAACATATTTTAAATAACATTTAAAGAATAAATTATCGCTATATTTTATTTAGACTTGATTAAAAGTAGTAATCTGCACTGGAAAATTTCGTTCATAAATTTGATTCTCGTAGTGTGAAATAGGTTGACTGATAAAAAAGAACTGAAAGGATTCTTTCAATATTCAGATTTATTGATTATAATAATATTATTTATTCACAGTTACATATAATCTTCTCTTAATAAACAGAGACTTTTAAGTGACACTACAGGTAAAGTTAAGTAATATCAGTGTGGAATTCCTAAGATTTTTGCGGGATATAAAAATTTATGACCAAAGTACTACAGTGTTGAACTCAAGAAACAATGTGTATAATGTTCTTATAAAAATCGAAACAACTTAATTTAGTCAAAAAAGCTACATTACATGATGAGCCCGTTTCTGTTTGAGATATTGAATAGAAGACTTACTAAGAGCTGGATCTGTTTTTCCCCAGCCTGTAATAATTGCTCTCCAACCTTGGAAATTCCAACCATACGGCGGCAAACATATAGGCAGAACATTTTCTTGGTATCTAACTGGCCGGTCAAGCCGTATTAAAGCCACATCATATCGATCTGGGTGTGATGGTGAAAAGCGAAAATTAGGATGTAGTAACTTTTCGACGACTCGAAACTTCTGCGCAGGTAGCAACTGGTAACGTTGATCATGTATATCATAAGCTCCTAAAACAACTATGACATCTTGCAAATGTGCTCTGAAACATTATCATCAAGGTTATTTATTACATTATTATCCAACCTACTGTTATATAAATTATTATAAAATACTCTATTTTTAAAGTAAATTTTAATTTTAACGACGAAGTGAAAAATCTAGAAATTGGATATAAATCTTTCAAATTATAAGCTAATTATGATTTTTCTATCAGTTTCATTTCAAAAAGTGTTTGTAGCTCTTGAAATACTTGAGACCAGGTGACTATATTCTCAAATAATTTAAAGTTCTTATTTTCATAGTTAATCCAAATACTAAAAGTAGATGTATTTAATACGTGAAATGAATTCTTTCAACTACATATATTTGTGCTTGCTAAGATATCAATACATCAGACTTATTCTCTGGTTCTCTTTTATAGAATTATGTGTTAATTTATAAAAAGACTACTTATTCTAGAGTAAAGAGAAAATGAAAGCTGAATATTTGTTAGCAGATTAAGAGATTATTAACATAAAATTTTTTTGAAAATTAAGTGAATGAAAGAAGTATGTAAAAAGAAAAACATTCTGAATAAAATTAATGAATAATTAACAAAGTACATAAATTAGGTTTTCCTGTTCTCTTTGCAACATTTCAAAGAAAACATAATATTCTTTAAAACATTTTATTAATATTGCACCTAAATTTAGCAGTACCTTTCATAGAATTTAGTAAAAGCAAAAATGTAAACAAATTTAATTTACCAAGGATTATATTGAATTTCAAGAGAATTTATAGAAATTTTGTGTTTTCTCAGTGGTGGTTTTCTTTCTTAGATGAGTATTTTTATCATTATGAATATTAATGAAATTAGTTACTAGTTATGAATAATGGTTTGTTATGATTACTAATCTTAAAAAAAATTGCTTTCAGATAAGGAATTTATTATTTGCCTTTACAACATAAAAGATAATGAAGTTTCTATTAAATTATTTGATCATAAACTTTATAGCATCTTATAGAAAAGTTTGAAATTAACAGGTTATACTTCTTGAATATGTTTTTAAGGACTTATTGAAATTATATTTGTTTCCAACGAAATGATTAAAGTGTACTATTTTAGTAATGTAAGTGCTAATTTTAATGATATAAGGGATTATACTTAGGTGTTGAACAGAAAACTTGCTGAATTAATTTATTTAATATTGATGAAATAGATTATTAGTTTTATATGAATGAGAATTTCGTAGAAAAACAAACGAAGACCACAGATCTGCTACACCAGTTTAGGAAAATACCGTTGTTTTAAATTTCCTCATTGTTCCTCAATTCAAAAATGTATTGGAAATTGAAATACTCTGAAAGATGAGTTTTTTATTGTTTTAATTTAGTGTGATATAAAAGCGTAACACCAAGATGTGTTTCCTGTTATCTTTCGGGTAAGCAAATCAAAATAAGTAATACAGACCTTTAGCAAAAAACGTAATTTTTAATGCATTAAAATACGAGAATGTTTTATATATTAAAAATTACCATTAGCAGTGAAAATCTTTATTGAACTATGCTAAATTTAATTCAGTTATAAAATTACGGAATTATACCTCACAAAAGAAAAACAACAGAAGAAATAAACGGAAAGCAAAATTAATCTCTATACTGTTTTGATAGTTGAGAAAATTAGCTACTCTATGAACTGAGTCCTTATAAACTGATCATTACATGATAGTATGTTTTATATACTGTTATGGCAGTTTCACATTTTGTATTATTCCTAATAGTTTATATTAATTTTTAAAATGTTATTATTTATCAATTTAAAAATTATCTCTTTATGTACTGAAGAGAAATTACGTATAGTATCAGCAGGAAACTTGAAAATTCAAACATTTCCCTCAACATGCCAGGAATCAAATCTGAGGTCTTCCATTTGCTAGATGATTGATGTGCTGACCAGTCCATCGCAAGGTCACACAGGGGGACTACCTTTAACTTCTTGCATTCTCACACGTCTTTTAAACGCCACTGGATTACCACATTTTAAGTCGTTCGCCACTGTAAAGTCATCAGGTTGCTGTGAGCAGAAATCTTGAAAAATCAACGGTGCAGTCGTTATGAACTAAATACGAGACCTTTTAACTACTAGCTAGATGTGACAAACATTATATTACACTGATACGTCAGAGGAGTGTCTTTAATTCTTTACAATATATGCAATGGAAGAACTTTGTAAAGTCAAACAAAAGCCGCTAAAACTATTATTAGAGCTTTTTCTTCAAGATCAACAAAAACTCTCTTCAGAAATTTGGCCTTGAATAATATAAATAAAGAAAAAAGTATGCCATAATCAAATTTACCAAAAAATGAGATTGGAGTAAAAAATCAATTCTATCAGAGAGCTTTTGAAAGCCGGTACGGTTTTCTAATCTTAAACAATCATCTGTTTACGTAACAGTCCGAAAATAGGCTCATATGCAAAAAAGGAAATAGTCACAGATATGAAAGAAAAAGAAATTAGGACATCTTTGATCTTTTTCAGAAAGCCTACTTTTACACATATACACAGATGGATCTTCAGATGAAATCCTCCTTAAAGTTGGAGCTAAAATACTTGTTAGCTGTTGAATGGCCATATAATAGAGTATAAAAAAAACTGGTGGAAGCAGCATTGCTTCAAATTACACCTACGAACTTTCTGTAGTCCATGAGTTTTAAACTTGGTACGTATATCAATCGGATACCAATCAAACTATAAGAATAAATTTAGTGACTTAAAATCAGCCCTGAGGCTATGAAACAAAGTTATATTAGATTTACGCAAAATATTCGCCACTTATTTGACACAACTGACCAACTGAAGAATGCATGATACACAAGTTTCCTTCCCAATCCAAGGCAATGGGATTGCTGGCGAACTGGCCAAGCAAAGCTAAGTATGCCAATAATGATGTAACAAGTCTTGTTTCTCCCTACTGCTAAACGGTAAGCTTCAAACTCAGGGAAAATTCCTTTAAAACGGCAACTGCGATTGTATGAAATTAGTTTCTATAGAGATATCACTTAAATCGGTCTGATTATGAGCTTGGTATTGTGAAAACTGTACCCCGTGAAAATTCTTCAAACTCCTAGTGCTGCCATAGCAACTCACAGATTAGTACCGGTATAGATTCTTTGATGGACATGACACCAACCCACCCAAATTTCCTGAATAGGAATTCCTTTTTAAGATTAATGTTTATTTCATATTTTATACTTTGAAAATCATACACAGTTTTTTTGTACCTGTTAATTTTACATGGAGTGTAAAAGGCAACTTACTTAAGGATTACTCATATGTCTGTAATTCAAAACTTTAACTAAACCCAGCGACTTACTACTACAGAACATGTATTTTATTATAATAACACAAGTGGGCAATCAAGCAAGCTTAATTAATTTTAAACTTTTCATAGCTTACGATCTAAAACGGAAGCTCCATAAAGGATAACAAAGTGCTATAAAATAAATTCTTATTTTTTAATATGTGTGAACAGAGTAAACTCAAACTCGTAAGTAACAGGCTAAGTAACAATTGTTATCGAGTCAAAATTTATGATAAATAAATTTCAGGCACTTTTATCTCCTTAGCTAGTTACATATTTTGCAATATTCTAAAAAAACGGCTTTTATGCAGTAAGAGAGCATATCAGAAAGATAAACAAAAAAATTGCAAAATGAATAGACTTTATATCAGCTTTTGGCATATCAAAATGACGAATGCATTATTTGTTGTATATAATAAAATATCACTATCATCTGGTATAATGAAGCCCCACAATTTGAAGCAGATAAGAATATACTTTAGACTTTAATTCACAGTGATATACGATTTGAAATATACATATCGCTGATGAAGAAGAGAAAACATACAATATTACAATTGATTACAATTGATTGCAGTTAAAAAATATATTACCTGTAGACGCAATGAGCGGCAGTCACAACGTAATGATGATTTAGAAGCACTCCTCCACATTGCTGCTGAGTAATTTTTATGTGAGCCTGTAAATAAAAGAATTTTTAATTTCGATAATGAATATTTTAATATCTTAGAGAAAATACTCATGGCTTTAGTAATTACTCCGATTTGTTTTCAAATATGTGACGTACTTTGAAAGAACCAAATGAAAACTTCTTTATTTGATAGCAAATGCATTATGATCCCTAATATCTAGAAACGTAATTTTAAAAGATTAGGTTTGTTACTTAATCTACATAAACACAGCGATAGATAAGTTTATAACTAGGTTTAATTTTACTTTGTTTTAACTAGTTAAATTTCCTCTCTCAGTTAATTTAATCGCTACATGTGAAACAGAAAATTCATTCTTAAATTTGATTTCTTATAGAAGAAATAGTCATACAATTCAAACCATTGGTTCCCAAAGTTTTTTTTGTCACACCTTCCTACTGCCAAAAATGAAACTTCTTGCAACCCTTTTCTCTAATAATGATAATATTATCTACCTATAAGGGTAGTAAGAACAAAAAACATAATTTATGAAGATTTTATTATAGAAATTTACTCTTTCAGACACAGATCTCCACTATGTAAATTCGGATCTCCATTATGTAATTTCAAGTTCAATGAATCGAAAATATCTGATAGATAAGCTAATACAACCTGAATACTCCACTTTTGGAATTCCATTTAAAATTCAGTTTGATTTTGAATTTCCAAAAACTGAATCACTTCATCTCGAAGTTCAAATAATCTTGCTAACATAATTTCCTTTTAAGAGTCAGCGTACTTCCGTGTGAAATAACAGTCTTTTATGTTCTGTTTCCAAATCTTCACAAAGTGTATTAAAAAAGTCGAGTATTTAAAGCACTTTTTTTAACATGATTGACAGTTTTGATGCATAGTTTTAAAGCATGGTTAAGTTCGTTTGGAAATGTCTTATCTGCCAAGGCTTGATGGTGTATAATACAGTAAATAGCTGTAACATTGGTATTTTTTTCTGACAATCTGTACGAATCCTGAGCGAGATCCAAGAATTGATGGAGAGCCGACTGTACCTACGCCTACCAGCTTTTGCCATGGCAGTTTATATTTGCCAAAGAATTCAGAGATTGCTGTCATTATATGAAATGCTTTTGAAGTAGTCGTTGACTCTGTATAAAATAGCGTCTCGTTTTTAGTTGTTTCATTTTGTACGAGCCGAATGAAAATTACAGTTGACAACATTTTGCAACATCTGTACTCTTTTCCAACTGTACTGCGAAAAAATTTTATTTTTTTCACGTCCTGCGCTTACTGACTTCAGCCGTATCATCAATGCGACGTTTCACAGTGTTTTCAGTAAACGATATATCTGAAAGCAGTGTTTTTCAGATGGCTGAGCAAAGCACCCAGTATTATCCAATTCCAAATTTTGAAATTTGTTTTAAATTTGCACATTTTTCAGCAAAAAACCTCTTTTGGCTTGTCATGCTATGTTTTGCCGGCAAATGTCGCTCCAGACGAGAAGCCCCCATAGCACCATTGCTCAGTACTTCGTAACAAATAAAACATTACGGCTGGCGACACTATTTTTTTGTATAGCAACAAAACCGTATTTAATACAATCATCATCGTATTTGCGTTTTTTCGACGAACTCATGACGAGGAAAAAACAACTTACGAGTCGACAGTTTATTTTCGCATTAAAAGTATACGTAACTTGCGTATCCAGAACTCATACAGAACGGTATCACAGAACCACGGATGAACTCTTGGCAAACGTGACCTTCGACACCGACTCGACTACTATTTCGCGCATGTGCAAAACGATATTAAGGATATTCGACAGCTATTCGCCGGTTCGCATGTGCAAAAAAGTATTAAGTAGTGTATTTTTCCATCTGCGGTCTGACGCAGCCACTCCTACTTTGGCAAAGTTTACTTTGTTAACAAATACCTTCTTTGGCCCAACTAAAACACGAGCGCAGCCCACAGAGACGGATTTAGACTTGATAAGGCCTTAAGCTATTTCAGATATGGGGTCTTTCATAAGATATATTAATTTTTGCAGACCCCCCCCAAGAAAGTGGGGTCCTGAGCTGTAGCTTGTGTAGCTTGTATATGTAAATCCTGCACTGGCAGCGGGCGGGGAATACAAGAGCACAAGCGGCGAAATACTGCTCGCGTGGCCCGTGCCTCCCCTTTACATGTCGTCGCATTGGAAAATCAATGATTTAAACCAATTTATTTATTTCTTTTATTTAAAGCTCTAAAATATTTTGCATTCTTTAAATATGCAGTTTTTCTCGGCAAACAACTTAATTTCGATGTCTTTAGGAATTGATTGGATGGAATTTAGATTAAAGTTACCTTAAGGATTAAGGTGTGGTCTACTTTCATAGTAAGGAAAAAAATCTCTCATGCTATTCTTTGAAGCTCAAAGCAAGCTTTAGTTTTGCTGTAAATTAGGAGGGTATCGAAATGAATAGCCCTAGGTTGAATACTGCTGGCATATTTTGGTTTAATGTAGGATGAAAAGCTCAGGTGGAATCATCTGTAGAAAATTTAAAGATGAGAACAAACGTTATTGCAGATCATATTGTAAGAATTCACGGCATAAACAGAGGTTTGAACCCATATACGCCGAAGCAATTACATAGCACTCTGCCAAAAAGGACTTACTTAGGCAGCTGTTATTTAGGCATTCCCAATGCAAAAGAGAAAAAATAAACATCTACTAAATATTCATCATCAATTTTTACGTAAAATTACCAAAACTTCCTGCACTACTTCAACAACTGCAGGTATTGTGCTTGTAGGTCTACTTCGATTGCATAAGCGAGTACAGCATCAAGCAATTCTCATGACTATATTGCAACTCAAAATATACTTCTATTAACTGACATTCTTCTTCCTCTTTTACTGAAGGATGATTCTATTGAGTATCTTAGAAAGGACATGTTGGCAATGAAAATAGTATAGAATAAGCAGAAACATTAGTTATAATTAAAGCAACTGAATATGTTGTAAACAGTAATATTGTTCATTCAAATATCTACACCGATAGTATGTTAGCACCTTTTGCAAATTATTCACAGACATCACCATTAATTTACAAGATTCAATAATTATTACGAAACAGGAAAAGATATGTTGGCTAAAATCTCATTTTGAATCACATAGTAATGAAATGGCAGACCACTTCGAGAGAGGCCGCTGAAAGTTATAATGCGAAATACCCCCACATTCCATCGAATAGATCATATCTTAAAAATATATCTTGATAATCTGACTAAGAAACAGTATGGAAATGGAGAAGAATGAGATTTTATGAGCAAAGAAGTACCTTTAACTATCTGTCAACAGCTGATCTAAAACTTAAAATTTCGATTCCGCAGTTATCAAGAGACATAACAGCACATGGTCCCTTCGCAACGTTTTACTATAAACATGTATTAATGATCGTTGCGTCTGTGGGGGCACTGAATTTCCATATCATTATATAATGTCATGTCCCTTAACGAAACAATATCATATAAAATTTCTTGCAGCTAACGGCATTTCTGTCAAGATTTCTCATTAATCTTGACAGAAATTAATAATCTTGTTCTTAAAATTTTTATAATTATGAATCTGTTTTTTGCATTGGGAAACGATATTTGCCATCCCGCTTAAAATATGAATATAAAAATAGCATTTTCACTTCTTTAAAAGTTCATTATTTTATTTATAAGCTTACTCACAGTAACTCTATTTTATGAACATAAGATGTAAAGGCTTAGTTTGACATTATGATCATCTGTATGTTAGATTTTATGAATCGAACTTTAGGTTTCACGTATTGTGGGTTTCATGAACTGTATTTTTAATGCAACTACATGCCCGTTTTAGTTTTTTTATTCTTCTTTCATGTGACTATGTTTAAAAATTTATACTCTTAAAGTATGGATTGTAATATGAAAAATATAATTAATTTGGTTATTATTATTTAAAATTAAAATAAATCAAATTAATGATGAATGTGGGACAACACCTGTTAACCAAAGGCCAAGAGTCCCATTCATAGTCAATTGAGTTGAAATGGCGGCAGACTCCAAGTGCTTAATACCAACAACATATGGTCACTGCAGTGTCACACCTTTCTCCGCAGCAAACTACAGAGTTAGACAATGAAAACTAAAATATTTGACGAATATATCATTCTGAATTTCAAGTTAGGGAGTGCACTTCAGGTTGGTAACTTTGAATGATTTCGAATTTTATCTATAGTAGTTTCAGTTTTCAATGTTACTAAATATACTGACTTCAAATATTGATAATTAGAGGACATGAATGGGAAATGTAATAGGAATTCAAAACTGATGGTCATTTGGACTAGGACATTCACCAAAAAAGCTCGTGCATGGAGAACCAGAGACTGTATTCGTAGAAAAGCGAAGAATTTCATTCATTCGGATATTCACCGTATAGTATTGCGAGGCCCCAACTTGTCAGCAACAGTGGTAGTGACTGCTATGAACTGTAAATTACACAAACTCGTAAGAAGGGTTTAAATCCCCTTTTTATTCCACTTTAGAAATAACAGCTGCGTTCACTTGACGCTCACAAACTACGCCGAACCGACGGTTTAACAAAACAGAAATGTGAAACTAAAAATAAATGACAGGATGAATAAATAACGAGATCACTACCTACGAGGCTCTAAAATCGTAACTAACTTAAACGCGTTCTAAGATACAGCTCAGATTTAGCAAGCTTACTGATTAAGCAGTTGAAGATTCAACGAACTGCCGAAATAGGCACACAGGCCGAAACGATCGGTTCTTAAATTTCTACCTAGCAACCTTCACGCTCGTGATTCAAGAAGCACACATACAATCTCGTTTCCCTTCTATTTAAACTCAACTTACTTCTGCTAAAATTTGAATATACTGCGCGTTCTACTACAATTTACATACTCTGGCATTGGCAATTCTAGGGGAAAGTAAAGGCTTGACAGGAAAGATAAAATAAATATAAACCCTACAACCGAAACAAAAGGATGTTGCCAAAAAAGAATATTAGAATGTTAAAGAGAATTGCATCCAAAAAACATAAAACAGCTGCTTCCCAGATTAGGACAGAGAATAATATTCTCCTGAACTTACCCATATCTACAAATATTGCATATCAGGAGTCATACTAACAATCAGGTAGCTGTAATAAAGCTTTTGATAATCAGCACTCATATTAAAAGCTGGTTTCAGGGATGTCAGAAGCACAAATCCATAAATCTTGGACAATACATATTTCAAAATACTTATTGTTCAGCAATGAATTCATTTTCACTGTCTTTTTCATTTCTAGGAAAGTTTATCTGTGAAAAATCTCTCTCAGATATATATAATAGGAACCGCCTTCTACTCAGAGTGAAGCATGGAGATAGCCTAGTGAATGCTTGGGCCAAAGCATCGTGGACATTTTTGAAACCGATGATTGTTCTGGATTGCCAGTTCACTGTCAAGGACTCTCCATGTATCCCAGAGGAAAAAACCCACTTAGTTTTCAAACACTGTATTCCGAAGGAGTTGTCCGATATCAGGATGATGCAGCAATTCCCACCACAAAACTGGAAGCAGAATGCTTTACACAAAGTAATCAATATTTCCATGCCTTTCATAACCCCCTGATCTTTACACTAATCAGCCTGTCTGAGAGTTAGAGGACTGGAAGACGTTAGAGGACAGACCTGGAGAATGTTTACCCTCTCCAACATCATCAGATGAATAAGCACTGTAATGCCAGAGAAATGGCAAAAATATCATTAGCGATTGTATGAATCTTGCACAGGTAGTTTCCCACCAATGTACAAATAACTGCTAACTCCTGTATAAATATGTATCATTACCCAACCCCCTGTATAAATAACTGCCATTCACATCAACAGATTATACCATTACTACCAGCCCCCAAACCCGCAGGAAAACGAGTCTCAGTTTTCCTCTTCATTTTGCAAAACGTACCAACTCTATTTCTTCTGAAAAAATTCTAAATTTCCCAAAATTAATTTCATATTTACATTACTTTTATTACGGAAAACATAGATAATTTCTGGAGCCGATAGCCATCTGCCATGAAATCCTGAATAGTCATTTGCCGTGTCTGTAGCCAATAGTCATTTGCCGTGAAATTCATTATTATGATGTATACTGCTGTTTTAACATTTAGCTAAGCAACATAGATTAAAAAGTTACTACGTTGTATTCTAAATCATTAAATTCAATTTTAACTTTTTCTAAAATACACAGTGTAAAGGAAAACGCTCCGTACCAACTTGAACAAAACCAGCTGGGGAACATCAGTTTTATTCATCGTTGGTAAGTTTCGATGCATTTCGGAAGACAAACCATTATTATGCCTCTTTCAGAATTTCTTACTTCTTATGAAGAAAGAGTGCTTGTTTACCTCAAAAAAGGAATCGAATTTCACGTTTGAAAGAAACTCCAAAAAAAGATTAAAAATCTAAGAATTATTATTTAATTTTGAGTGGTTAAATTCTGATTTTAAATAATAGGCGATTTAGAGGTCTTAGCAAATTTTCAGATTTTGAAATGTGCCTAATTCAACAGAAAGGGAAAATAAACCTCACCAAGCGAATTCTATTCATCATAAATTATTATTTATTATAAATCATTATCATCATTATTTTGGTATACGTATAATGTTGAAATATTTGATGAGCAGCTACCCCTCTATATAAAAACTAGTTGACACCGTGTCATTACAGTGAATAGTTACAAAATGTTTTTGTAAATGTTAGAGGTTTAAAAACTTTTTATGGTGAGTAACTACAAATTGTACAAAATAACTAAAGTATTTGTTGTAAATAGGTTCATTTCAATGTATATAAGCATTTCAGTTAGAAAATTTATAATGCAATAGAAAGATAGCTAACTATTTTTTTAACAAAGGCGTGTTTTATTCAAAAATATGTGTGTAAAAAGTGTATGTGTAAGAAATTAGAAATCATGCAAAAATACTCAGTTACCTGCCAAGGAAATTCACCAAATTCTGCAGCATTTCCTCCAACGATACGACTAGTAGGTTTATATACTCTCTGTCCACAAACAGCTATATTGAAAAAAGAAAAAGCACTTTTTAGTTTTCAAAAATTAAGATGGCTTAAAACCTTTTAAAAATCACTAAGTAACATGGTATAAAGTTATTAAAACTTTCCAAAGACAAATCAAAAGTGGAGGACTATAATTGTTAGGTCAAATGATTTAAGAAGATGAGTATTAACAGAAGTTAAATCTGTTAAAAATCATTAATAAATAAAATATTAGATTAGTTACTACTTTTAAAGAAATGGTTAAAAAACAGACTGACTGCTGCAGTGGAATTGACCTCTGCAACAAGAACATTCTTTAATAATTGAAACGTTCGATTCAAAGTGAATATTCTTCAGGCATCAAGTGTAATTCCAGATACATTTATTACTCACATTTATTTATTCAGACCTAAGAATTTCGTTAGTAATCTTGTCCTCGGCAATGTAAACGCATAAACACCTGAGAAAAATAGCGAATTGTAAAGAGTCTTGAGAGTTGATCTTTGAAATAAAGGATTCGGAAATGTGGATAAAGACACTGCATAGGTACTAAAACTAAGGAAAGTAACTAAGGCAAATGAAAAAAAAATTGAAGCTGAAAAGTCATCTTTTGCTTTCCCTGGAAGAAATGCAACGCAAGCATATGTCACCGAATACTTAATCTATCACTCGCTTACTGCTGAAAAACGCAGAATAATTTATCTGTCCAGTGTGAATCTAGAAAAAATTTATCAACGTTACTATAATTTTTATTTCATTTTCAGTAATTTTGGGCTAAGTGTTTTCTGAATCAAAATCAGAAAGAATGATGTACTCATCAGAAACAATGATGTACTCATCAGAAAGAATGATGAAATCAGAAAAAATTATGTACTGATCAGAAGGAATGATGTACTCATCAGAAAGAATGATGAAATCAGAAAGAATGATTTACTGATGACTTCGTAAAAGGAAGTCTTTTATTTTACTTTGATAAAAGTCTTGTTTTATACAAAATAATAAAATTTTATACAAAATAAGAAAGCACAGTTTTTACAGATTTATTTTCTCAATTTATGATAATTTATTATTGACCATAAAATATTGCATTAAAAACAGTTACTATATTCTGAAGTTAAAATCTTTATATTTGTCTCTCTATATATATCTTTACAGTGTCTGTTCATTCGTTTAGCAGTTTTGATTAGTAAAAAGCAGCATAAAAGCATCGAATGGTCCTTGTTAGAGAAGCTTGTCTTAGGTTAAATAACGGAAAGCTAGTTTCTTTTGAAGTATTTATATATTTGCAACAATTAGCAGTATTCTGACTCTCTGCGCTATCTTGTAGATGTAGAAATGTCTGGACCTAGTTGTGATATTAAACCAACTTTATCGCTAAGCGGAGCACATGCGTGACGACACATTTATTTCTGTGAAGTTATATAGCACCCCCGCGTTCATACAGCTGATTGCAGGGATTCGGGTTCTAGATATTTATGGTATTGGAAATATTAAGTGTTGACTTTTATCAACAATACACAATATTGAATAAAAATATTTTAGACACATTGTTTTTAATGAATAAAACAAAGACAAAAGACTATGCAACACAATTTAATTTTATGAACGATAAGCTATAATTGTATATGTATTTCAGTGCTAAGAGTTTTACCAGGGAATCCACGTGTATAAAGAAAAATCTATAAAAATATTGGATAAGATTATTTCATTTGAATTCAGGAAGAACGTTGGATAAGAGTATTTTGTATTTCTTTTTACTTTAGGCTGAATTTAAGACTTCAGAATTAAATTCATTAGTTTATAGACGTAGTTGCATTTGTTCATTAACTCACTAACGTATGCGGAGACAGTAGACAGCTTTATATATTATATTTGTGACGTAAATTGTCACATTTTCCATAAAATGCTTGATTTGTAATCAAAATAGGAAAGCATTCTACTTATTAACAGGAAAATTCTCTAAATTCCGTTAAAGTGTAACGTATTTTGTTATAAATTTTTATAAAAACAGTATGCCTTTAATAATGATTTTATCTTACAATGTTTCCTTTTAGAATACTGTTGATTTATAAAAAATGGCAGCACGGTATATGACGAAATGATAACATACGAATCATTGCTTCATTTTTGAAGATTCGAATCTAATTAAAGATGCAACTCATTAAATTCATTCTCATTAAATTTAAAATCAAACTTTTATATCTGTTTCTTAAAGTATTTAAGGCAAAGAATGTTCACCTTTGTCTTTACTCAGTATCCTTTGGTTGAGGACATCTGCAGGAAGAGAATGTGGTTGATGGCTGCTGTGTTGTGGTTTAGTTGGAGAACGTCTTACGCTGTTTGCTTGTTGTGTGACGCAGCATGAAGAAAGCAGGCTTCCTGGGCAAGAGCTCACAGATGTTCCTCCAATGAGGGCACAAAACAGAAAAAATGTGCACTGGTGTCGGCCACCATCGTAGTAACAAGTATTTGAATCATCTTCTAGAAGTGGAATAAGAGACAAATATTAGAAAATTTAATGACTGCATTTCTTTGTAACACACATACTTATTTTATTTAAAGGTAAGCATAATATCTTTACATTGTTTAAAACCACTGTATTATTTCTCTGTAAGCAGGATATCTTTCATTTGATCTCGAAGCAGCATTTAGCAGCATATAATCCAAGATGCACCAACCAATATGACCGGAATTACCTCGAGAAAGCGCTTTAATATGCGTTATTATTATTTTCATGCCATTAGAAATGAATACTGAAGTGCCTGAAAAGATAGAGATAAGATTTCGTCTCGTGCAGTTCGGTAATTATGACTGTCTACTCCTGAGAAAATTACAGTTGTAATTGAAAGTGATTAAACAAACAAACAAAAACAGATTCAGAGTACATATACAGCAGTACATAGATCTTTTAATACCGAAGCTGGTGCAGAAATAAAAATTGCAGGACGTTTAGTCTCTTTCCTTCCGATCAGGGGCCAAAACTCTAATTTCTGAGCTTGCAGATATGTTGACAAGAAACAAGAGTTCTTATAAGCAAATAGTTCACTGGAATTATAGATGGAGGGAAGAATACTTTGATATAGATTTATTTCTTCTTTTTTTAATTTCATGTTACAAAGTAGCCTAGAAAGTGATCAAGATTATTTCGTGGTGTTAAAGGCAGAGAGTTATAAGACCAAATGTACATTTTAGTCTAAAAGGTAATTAGCACAGATCATGTTTTATGTTTAAAAATTTAAAGAAATCGAAAATATACATAGCAACATTCGAATCAGTTCAGGTTTATAAATATATGTCGCAATCTCAGAGTAAATCTAGGTCAAAGTTTCTTCTAGGGTTCACCATTTTAAACACCGGAGATACCTGACTTTTAGTTCAGTGATGTATTACCACATGACCCCACATATTAAACCTTGGGGTAAAAAAATAAGAAAGAACCTTTGTACCAGTAACATTTCCTAATTGCGATGCAAGAATTTTAATAGACATTCAATTAAAACATTTTATTGTAAGAGACTCATTGCTTTAATTTCAATAGATATACTTAATAATGTAAAAACTTCTGCTAAGAGAATATTGAAAGAAGTCAAATAATAGATGAAGAAATAAAATTGTAGGGGGATTGTTTTATGCATTCCCTTTTGTTGTAAGTTGTGAGCAGATTCGTGGTCCGAATCGCGGCAATGACACTTGTCTTTTCGCGTTTCATACTCTGAGAGCCAAACTGTCTCTTCAGTGGAGCCCCATTTAAAATATGGCGGATGATATTTTTTTTCATATTTCATGCTCTAAAAGACTAACAGTCAGTACAGTAAAATGAAAGAGTGAACTGAAAACCCAGATACATTTTCATACTAGTTAAAGACTGATTTATTAGTCAACCAATGCAACCCAGACACCGAAGAATGCTTAAAGACTGTCCAAGCTAATTATTATAACTATAAAATGATAGTAGAAGTAAGTGAAGAAGTAAAAATGAAGGCATTTATTTTCTGTTTTGAAAGTTTGCAAACACTAACTTCGAGAATAAAAAATCAGCGTCATTTAATTTTTTCAAGGCAATGAAGGCGTCAGGCGTTAAGGCGTCAGGAATTAAATGTAGCCTTTGTAGACAATTCCAAACTGACAAATATAATCGAAGGCTATATGCGTAAAGTTGCCCACATATGAAATGAACGCTAGAATCGGTATTTGGCAGTAAGTATCTGACGGAACGCAATTAGTGCAGAAAATGCATTATTTAGAAAACTGTCGACATATCCTTATCCATACACAATCAGACTTAAGAATCCATATCCATACACAATCAGTTAATCGACGGCGGCACATGTTTATCGACATGTATACAAGAATGCTTTCTGTATGTGTTTACTTAATTGTGTGCCACATGCAGAAACATAGAATATGATATACTGAATGACCTACTAGGGCCCACAATAATGTGACAATGTATTACTTGCCAAGTAGTCACTTTTCAGCCTGTTCTCGACGCATGGCAACATGGTGAGCATCATAATTATGTAAACTATCTATAATAAGATTATAGGTAAATTTAAGTTACTTTTGTAGGCTAGATCTTATTAGAACTAGGAAGCGACTATTCGGTAAATTCTAATGTATCAGTAACAATACAAGAAGAAAGGTAGAAAGACCCTTTTATTCACACAAGAATAGTTCACAGACGGGACTTCTCGCACGTACAATATCACGCCAACACTTTTGGTGGTAACACAAAATAGAACGAAAAATTAAAACTAATCCCGTGTTTCTTAATCAACTGAAGTTGCACAGAGATCATTTAACGCGTAGTGGTTCTTTGCTAATATCACTTACATAAATTAACAGGCAATTAATATGCACGGCCGTGAAATAGCAAGTTTTAACTAGTAGCGAAACAACGTGGCCGAAAGGCGGAACAAGCTTTGTCTAAAGTAATTCAGACTCAGCTTAAATAGTAGCTTTCTACCCTAATTTGCATAATCCGCGAAACTGAAATTTTATTCTGAGTGGGTTGAAACTGAGAGTTTGAAGGAAAGGTTTCTTCGAAAACAAATTTAACTGTTAGGGAAATAAAATAAAACTCTACACTATTTGCATCATAATTATCTAAAACCAGAAAAAATGAAGCAGATGCCTTTAGAAAAATACATTAGAAAAGACCTTAAGATTAAAAAAAAATAGCATCTTTCAGGCTATGCTATCAAGGAAAGAAACTGACCTAGCAACTGAAAATATATCAACCAGTGTTTTTATTTCTACTCTGGTAGAAAGTCAGTATCACACGCTATCGCTATTGAAAGGCAGAAAGTCCCGAAAATTTATGAAATTAATAGCGTTTTCTCATATCCTCAGATAAAAAATAAAACCACATTTATAATAATTTACATCGGCAACAGCATCACTGATGGCGTAGATAAACTACTAAAAGAAACTACAAGAAATGAAACAGAAGAAATTAAAATACAATGGCCCCATATTTTCCATATTATAGCATTGGCTATGTGAAATTGGACTTTGTCTGAGGCAATAATTTTGGAATACTTGGGAGATTAAGCAGATGCGGCGCTTTCAAGAGTAAACAGCACGAAAAACTGATAAATCATTTTTTTTCAGGTGATAGTTCACTCAATTGCAACTGCCAACTTTTCAGAGAATAGTTAAATTAATATTGTTATGTTAATATATTATTATGAATAAAGTTAAATTATTTCTACTGTGCAACAGTTTTGGGTAACCATAAGATATTTTTGAATAATATCAGCATTAAAAAGTGCAAAAACTTAAACTGTAACAATAATATATCAGTTATATTATTAATAGTAATTTAATGAAAATCAAATTCAGAAGTATATGATAAGAATTAAATGAAATGTAGTATGCCATGTAATCAAATTTCAATGGATATAATATGACATAAATGAAGTTCTCCAAATAATGATTACATTAATAGTTGATTCTAAGCATATAAAGAATAGAAAAGAAGCCTCTGATCCATTTGGTAACGCGTCAATAGTCGACATCATTTTGAACGATGTAAACAACACCGTACTGGAGTGTGGAGCAGAGGAAAGTTTTATGTAGTGCAGATTTGCCGATGCATGATTTGGCACTTGAATGTACGTGTGTGGATCTAGCCCCTTTCTCACGATCGGCTATGTTGCGTTGAAAATGAAATTATGCAGTTGTAGTGTAACAATGTAGGATTGATTTTCGTCGGTTAGACTAAAGTCCTTAGTTTTAATAGATAGTACAATTAACTCTGGCATGGTCAAGATGTTTTGGATAATAACTTGCTTCCTAAACTGTGGCGACAGTTTGAAATAAGCCTTTTACTGTTTCATATGTAATAATGTTTAATATATAATAATGTTATAATAATGTTTTTGTCTACTTAGATGCATGTCCTATGGAATTACCAGCTGGCTCTCCAAAAGTTCTTTCTTGAATCCAATCAAACATCTTTGGGATGAGTTAAAACACCGGTTGCATGCCAAACCCAGTCGACCAATTGATATCCGTCAACTGTTCATACTAATTCTTCTAAAAATGCACTAGAAGCTAAGAGATAAAAACTGTAATAGCAAAGAAAAGTTGTTTTTTCCGTTTATGATAAGCGTGGCGACTTTTAAAACAACAATGGGCAGCTGATAACTTTTGGCTATAAGGTGTAAATATACGATTATATTAAATATCAGAAAACGAGAGTAAATTGGACAACAAAATAAACGTTTATAAACAGAATTATAATTAATAGAAACTATCAATTGAAACGTAACTTACCTCTTTTGATGGAAATTCCAAAGAAGGTTTCGCAAGGATGTAAAATGGATAGAGATACAGCCAATATACACGTTATCAAACGCCATTTTGCATCGAGCATCGCATTGGATACCGCTCTGTATGTATATTTTTAATTTGCTGAAAGAGATTAAAAATGCATCAGTAAATTGGATGTCGCTTATAACAAATATTTATTGATATGCTTAGTTTCTTAAACCGATTGCACAGAAAATGTATATATGTCAGTTAAATTTTTGCAGCATATTTAAAGTCTTTTCTGAACCTGAATAAAATCTTTTATCCAGACTTACCACAGTTACACTATATTAGGAAAGATATACACTCGTGTGCAAAATTAAGATAATTTGCACATTATATCCAGTTTTTGAAAAACTAATGGACAGATTTTAATGAAATTTGGTATTAATATGCATTTATAATAGAGAAAGTGATATATCATTCACAACTCATTTTATTCGCACATGTTTATCAGAAAGCTCATAATGCAGGGATGTCTAAAACCACGTTGGGATATTGAAATGAAAAAGAGTTTAATATGGGGTATGGTACCCTCTTACAGCCAAAAATGTCGATCAGTGCAACGGCATACTAGTCAGGAGGCAGTAGAGGAATCCCTATGGCAGTCGATTCTACTTCTGCAGAAAGTTTGTTTTCAGATCTGAGATGGTTCTCGGAAGGGAATAGCGAGATGAAATTGCCTTCCCAAGAGTGTCCCAGACATCTGTAGAGGCTTATGATCAGGACATCTGGCTGGCCTATCCATGCGGCGAATATCTTCATTTTCCATGTAATTTTCGACCAACTGAGCCCTATGTGTACGAGCGTTATCGTGCATTTACAAGCAATCAGCACCAACTGCGCTTTTTTTTGAATACATCGAATATATAGTTGTAAGATCTACTCTCTATACCACATAGCAGTAAGGAAGCATTTGCCAAATACATGCAGGGGTATGCGGCCGTCCAACATAACGCCTGTCCAAATCCTTACACTTCCACCACCGTATGATATTTTTCCTTGAATGCACAGTGCTGCAAATGAATTCTGGTACAAGGTGTGCTAAATGCACTCTCTCGCGTGCAGGACGCAACAGTGAGGTGAGCAGGACGCAAAAAAGTGGATCTTCTGGCATATAGCCCTATTTCATGAAGCCTTCGGCAATTTCAGACCGTAAATCTCGGGTTCCAGTGGATTATTGGATTATTGAGTGAGGAAAAGGAGAAAAGAATTATCTGTCTGAGAAAGAAATACCTTCATGCAGGACTTTCTAAGGGAATTGATTGGCATATATGTTATAAATAAGGGGAGAACCACGAAATTCCCTTGCAGCCAACTTATTCGCGACAACGTAAACACAGTTTGATTTATCAGTGTTCAGAGGCAGTTAATGGCGCATTGTCTAATAGTTCTTTTCATATGGTATTTCTTATGTAATTATGAAAACTGTATAAGAACCTTGAGATGATACTTATTTTTGTGACGAATATATTTTGTATCTTCTTGATGGATATTTTACTTTTTCAGCTCAGCAAATGTTACAAAAGCATATTTTTATTTTTAACCAATCATATAAAACCTGTTCCATCATTTACTTGCCATAGCGACCATTTATTTCTAAACAGCTTAAGATTATCAACCAGATAAACAAATTAAATTACTGGTCAATATACATGAATTTCGAGATCTTAATAAAAAATTAGCAGAAGGGAAGCGTTAGCGGAAGTTCTTGTCTCCATATCTGCAGGTATTAACGAAGTAATCCGAATCTTAGAGAATCTGCAAGCTGATGAATCTAGTGGTCGTCACTTATATAAAGTGGCAATTAACCAGATGGAGAAAAATGTGAAATTTTCTCTTAGACTATGAACAGTTACGGATATTACAAAGAAATGAATATGAATGGAGAAAAATAAATTCAAATTTTACCGTTAAATACAAATTCTAGGACATTTATATTCTGTGCGTTGCTCATGATCTGATTTACTAATAAAGAATGCATCAAAAATCAAAACAGATACTAGTACCTTTTTCCTTCGCCATAAAAATCCTATACGGAAGTCTATACGGAATTTAATATCGAAGTAACCAATATGGAAATATGGGAAAGTAAAATTTAAGCAGGTCAACACCTCCGATGTCATATAGTAGAAATTTCATAAGTTGTGACATTATAATTTACTTAATAACTTTATTTTAAAAAGACAGCAAAAAAGAAAGGTTTATGCGTTAAAAGAGAGCATTTTATATTTCAGTTTTATTTAATAATTTGATACGATGTTTATATCGTAAAGAATATTTTTAAAAATAACTCCAAGATATCATTTCATTAGAATATACAACATATTCATAAAGAATGTGTTTGAAACTGAGAGGGAAAAATAACAATGAAGATACAGATGAAGAAGCAGAATTTTAATCTACAAATGAAATTCGAGGAAAACATTACACATAGCATATTCAACACAAGCATAAAGAATTTTACCCAAAACCTGTTTATAAATTTATAATTAACGCATATTTTACATGCTGTTGGATACTGGGCGCACTTAACTGAAATTTCTGAGCAACAAAATGCGGACGGTGAAAATGTTTCCATTTTTGTCAGAAGCTAAGATTTTTAACTAAAATTAAAAAATCTAGATTTTTGAAAAAATAGTTTCGGAAATGCTTTGATAGATGGTAACAAAAGCACATATGTGGTATTATAGTCTGTAGAGACATTAGATATTTTTTTGGAAGCAAGAGAGATGAAGAATTAGCAACCGCCTTCGCCGGGAATCGAACCACGGACCTCTGAAATACCGGCCCAGCGTGCAGAACCACTACACCACGAAGGCACGCTATTAAAGAGGGGAAAAATACCTTATATAGCCATCTTTTTATGTAATTAAACTAGCCTATCTGCTTATAGGCACATCTAATTCGCAGGAAGGCTCTGACACGTAGAAGCCGGGGAGAAACAAGCCTTATGGCTAGAAACAACACCACAGAATGAAATCGCTAGTAATTCAAAGTAACAAAGTGGCCTTAAAGCAAGCATAATGTGCTCTAAAATCACCTTCCAAAAGCTTCCTTAAACAGCACTTCTTTCTACCTTAATTTGAATACACGCGAGCTATCTTATAAGCATTTTGGCAGAAAAACGCGGGTGAAAACGAGACTGAAAGGAAAGTTGCTTTAACTAAAAATTACTTGTTATTCAAACTAAATAAATCCTCACACAGTATCAAATTAGTTAACTGTCAAAAAGTGACATTCCTTGTAATACGGAAGAAATAAATGTTATAAATTTGTTCCTGATTATTTATTATCAGTTATTTAAGTCTGAATTCTAACGATTTCTTTGCTTTCTTCGAGTAAAAGTTCAAATATTCAGTTGAGTTTGCAATCAGTATTCATAAAAACTAAAAAGAAATAAAATAAAAATTTTCTCCTAGCTTCTTTAACTCTTTTAAGTTTAATTTTACGTTTGAAAGATCGTTGCGAATAATCAAATACGCAAATGCGTGATTGGGTATTCGTGAGGAGAAATTAGTAAACAAAAATATGTACTAAATGATGTAAAGATTAGAGGGTAAAATCGGTCAAAAAGTATTTAATCAGCCGAAAGCTAACCAAGGAAACCTTCCTAAGAAATTAGCCTCAGGGTGAAATAATCACGGAAATGGTCACGAGGGAAAGAAGTGTAGTTACAGAAACTCGAATAACTCACTATGATGAAAAGTAGAATTTTTTCGCATGTGAAATGTCACATGGGAAATAAAACTGAAATGTTCACGCTTCATATACGATCCTCTAAGCCATCTTTCGTAACACTTGTCCTTGTAGCAATTTTCAGAATACTGAGATATATGAAAACCCAGGGGAAAAAACATTTATGTCCATTAACAGGAATTTTGAGAAAAATGAAATTTTAGTTTGTGTAACTTCATTTATAAAGAAAATATTGTAAAGTCATGCAAAAATTTCGTAATAAATGTTCAACTTTTATTTAACAAAATATGTATAATAAACAAAGTACACACACACATATATATATATATATATATATATATATATATAAATGAGAGAAACGAATTTTCAGTTTCCTTAGGTGACTAAAATGCCTTTTCCCTGGTTTCATCAGTTAATCCTAGAAACACAGATTTTCACTGCCATAACTGGCTTTTCCTCAAATGAAGTTCTTTTTCTGCCCCCATTTTGTTTTTCAAGTTTTGAATCAGTTTTGCTTTTTTTGCCCTTCAGCAAGTTTCCCAGAATTTTTGCCAAGCATATCATTATCAGTCTCTGCTTTAGATATACCAAAAAGACTACAAGTGTCCTATCTTAGGTAACCGAAGCCGATGCTAAACCAGCATTGAAAAATATCTCAGAATTTGTCATACGACACTAGATTGTTCGCATTGTACATATCATGTAATTTTGTGATATTTAAATGTTCGGCAAGTATACTTTTTTATTCTTTTTTAAGAAATAATGAGAATTTCTTTGATGGAGGTAATAAATTCGATTATTTTAGAAATAGTTTTCTCAATATTTTTGGTTTGTAATTGTTTCCGTGCGGTCTACCGGTGCTTTTCGTATAACAGCCAAAGCTTCGCTTATTTTTTAACTCGGTTATTTGTAATGCCGTGGAATGAAGCAAAGGTATTTATACAGACTTGCACATCATTACATTGTTCATCTTGGCAAGAACATACTCGATAAGATAAACACGCATTTTGTAAAGATCCCTCATTTCCCCAAAGAGAACATCAGTGCATTGCACTCAAAAGCGTTATAAGACCGGCGAGTAAATCATTTTGGGTTTATAATATCCAAGTTTCATTAAAATCTTTAAAATTCATTGCTTTCCAATATCTTAAATATAAGAAAAGCGTTGAAAACGTTTGAAAACTTTCTGCACATCACGGTTTCTCCCAATTTTCTTTCTCTTCTTGGCGGAAAACTCGGCTACTGAGTCGGAGCCTGTATTGGTATACAGTGCGCAAAATCTTTTCTCGGTTACAGAGATGGGTATGAATACTTCTTCTCCTGAAGCGAACCATAATGTAGAAGCTGTTCCTGTTCACCGCTAGAAGGCATTATTACTACAATTTTCACAAAAAAATGGACAT